GTCGGGATGCAATGCAAGCAGCATTATGAATTCCAGGATTTCTTCCAATAAAATGTTTTTGAATTTGATAACTTCAAAATTGTATGTTATTTTAAAAGATTCCTTCAATTCTGCCAACAAGTGGAGAATTCACATGTCAATGCTGTGTGCACTACGATTCCAAGAAATTTGTCCGCATATTACTGCGTTTTCCGGATTATGTAACATATTTTGACTATGCAGTCTCGGTGTCATATCCGGATACCCGCGAGATCCGTGATCCAACATCAATGACAGAGTTGCTGATGACGTCGAAGGCAAAGTAAGACCCTCTGCGATAACAACGCAGTCCACCGATGAGACCACCAAGACGCCGTCCACGGAAAGGTTTTCTCGAACCATACCGGTGTGTCAACCTGCTCGATAGTGCTTGTGTGTGATTGAGTCATATAGGTCGTTGGAAGAACCCGACAGCCCAGAAACGCAAACCTTTGAGACTGCACAGAGCGAGCTGACCCAAAAGAGAGTTCAAGGGAGTTCCGTACCGCAAAGAGTTTCTTGCTCGCAATACCGAAGTGTTTAACTATGAAAAATGCTCGTCGTCGTTCCAGCAAGGCAACCGTTGCTCCTTCTCGATAGACGGACTTCAAAACCAAAGTGCTGTACGTGCAAGAAACGCTAACGAGCGAACCCAAGGTGTTTCTCGAGCCCAACAATTTGTCCGACGACTGTACGGCTGCTTTGGATGCATGCAGCTTCTCGGAAGAAAAGGAGAACTCGGGGGTTTTGTACCTTTCATACGGAGTATCGAAAGGTGGGTCGGGCATCGTCATGGTTATTGCGTTGCATGTCGACGAATCCATTGAACACTTGCAAGACACCTTGGATGGGTCAAATTGAGTTTTCTATCGTGGACGCAACACGACAAGGTGCACTACGCATCACCCTTCTCCGCCACTTCCAATACGTGTATCTCTTCAACAACGGCCCCGAGTTCTTTTTTGTCACCAACTTGGACGCTCCTCGCAAGCGCATCATCAAGGTGGACAATATCCTGAGCGACACGATCGTGTGGACCGAAGTGATTCCGGAAGGCGTGGACGTGTTGACGGCTGCCCATGCCGTGCGCAAAGACCTGCTCGTGGCCGAATACTTGAAGGACGCGAGTGACACGATTCGTCTGTACAAGCAGTCGGGCGAGTTTGTGCGCAACATCGCCCTCCCCAGCATCGGGACGGTCAACGTGTCGTGCAAGCGGGACTCGCCGGAACTCTTTTTCAAGTTCATCTCGTTCCTGTACCCTGGCACGATCTACCGCGAAGACCTGACGGACCCGTCGACGAGCTCGCCGGCGGTGTTCCGCGAGGCCAAGGTGCCCGGCTTCAACCCCGAGGACTTTGAGGCCAAGCAAGTGTGGTACCCGTCCAAGGACGGCACGCAGATTCCGATGTTTTTGGTGTCCAAGAAGAACCTGGCTCGCACGGGCGACATCCCCACGTACTTGTATGGGTACGGTGGGTTCAACATTTCGCTGACGCCGTCGTTTTCGGCGAGCCGCACGATCTTCGTGCAGCACTTCAACGGTCTCCTGGCGTTGCCGTCGCTGCGAGGCGGTGGCGAGTACGGCCAGGCGTGGCACCAGGCCGGCACGTTTGGCAACAAGCAGAACGTGTTTGATGACTTTCAAGGTGCGGCCGAGTACTTGATCAAGGAAGGGTACACGAGCTCGTCGAAGATTGCGATCCACGGTGGGTCGAACGGCGGTCTGTTGGTGGCCGCGTGTGCGAACCAGCGTCCCGATTTGTTCCGTTGCGCCGTTGGTGCCGTCGGCGTCATGGACATGCTCCGATTCCACAAGTTCACTGTCGGGCATGGCTGGGTGACGGATTTTGGCAACCCCGACGAGCCTGAAGCATTCGAGTACATCTCCAAGTACTCGCCGTTGCACAACGTGCCTTCGTTCGAAGCGAAGAGCTTCGGGTTGGCCAACGATCACGGCGGGTTCCCTGCGTACTTGTTGACGACGGGTGACCACGACGACCGTGTCGTGCCACTGCATTCGCTCAAGTTGATTGCGGAAGTGCAGCACAAGTTGGGCAGCCACCCGAACCAGAAGAACCCGCTCTTGATTCGCATCGAAACGAAAGCGGGCCACGGGGCGGGCAAACCGACGAGCAAGGTGCTCCAAGAAGCAGCCGACGTCTACGCGTACATGGGCTGGGCGTTGGGTGCCACCTTTGTGTAATAGACTTCTCGCTCGTTTCGTCTACTCGACGTGTTTCTTTCGTGCTGCTTTTTCTCGTGGCTGGCTATGGAAAACGTTTGACATGTAAAAGATCTTGTAGGGGTATGCGTGCCCGTGGCAAACTTCCATCATGTCGCTTCCCTTCCACGCCAGGGCAACTCGCGCGACTGTATTCCGGCGCGAGCCGTCTCGTCTCGCACGCATTTTCCAAAGGATTTTTCCACTTTGAACCATGAATGGATCGTAGTTTACAAACACATGAACATGGGCAGAACGGTCACAGGTGCGTGTGCTTGGCGTCACAGTTTGGCCAATATCTGTCACAACGTCGGGGAATCTCAAAGTTGCGCACGGTGGACGTCATCTTCTTCGCCGCACGGTTGCGTTTTTACCGTAGTATTGTGTCAGGAAAGATTGCTACGAAAGGTATTGGACGCCATCGGGTTCTACGAGACAAGCCGCCTGGAGATTTGCGACGAATTGCTGTTTTCTCCGTCACGATCATGTTTGCCTTGGCAGGTGCGGGTTGTCGTGCGGTGGTGCATGCGTTCCGCTGCCTAGAACGAAACCGCGTTCTAGTTTGCACCCCTACGCTATCGGAAGTATAATTGTGAAGGGATAATTGTGGGCGGGATGGAGGCTTCACGGCAACAGG